GAGACTCTTGTTAATGCGAGTCTTGCTGTACCGGAAATCTCATCACTGAGAGAGCGCAGGAATAAGTAAACTTCGGAATCATCACATAGTTATTGTGGTCATTCCCAATTCCAACTTCTCTCTTCAGGTGCGTACTACCCTCCTTCGGAAAAGTGGATACTGATATACTTTGCTATATGCAACAGTCGTGCAGTGACGTCTGCCAGACCTATCAGAATGGTCAATGGACTCGGTAAGGGCGTCTCTGTAGCAGCCTGAATATAGGTTTTGAATGCTGTCATATGTTATTGTAATGAAATTCTCCAATAGTAGTAAGAATATCACGAAATGAAATATATAGTACTTTATAGGTGAGCTCCTTTATTATTCGGGAGTATCAACGTAGTATGAGCAGCTTAGTCTATAGTTAGGTCTCACAGTAAACATTTGTTCAGCGTGTCTCGCATTTGCTCTCGGCGGGGAGATACGGATATTATTAGGATCACGAGTATAGTATCTCGTGACGCTGTTCAGATGCCCCGATCCGGACAGGCTCGAGATGGACAGGAAATTTGGTGCTGACCCACAAATGTGTGTTGTTCGTGTTGGCGGTGATGGTGGTAAAACCGTCAACGTGGAGATGCCTTGCATTGACGTGCTCGATGGAGCCTATTGTAGTTCATACCAGAATTCTGTGCTGGATTTCTCATGTCACTTCTCAGGTAACGAGGGTTACACTTTGACGCCATCCAATGTCATCACCATGAGGGGCATGGTCCTCGCAACAGTGTTTATTACACTTTTCTGGCTTCTCGCTGAACTCCTATTGAGGAACGTGGATATGGAAAATAGGAAGGAAAAAATGCTGGGGATGCAGAGGATGGCCAAAGAACTGCCAGCGAAGAAGGAGTGAGCCCTCGAGTGGGAACATGCTCTGGCACAACTGGTTTCGACTAGGCAAGTTCGTCTCCACGTGGAGTTGCGGTGGAGGAACGATGCAATGCTGGCCATGTCAGAGGCCCCCACGATCACTCCATGGACTGTAGCTCAGGATAGTCCTGGGATGTACCCATCGTAAGTCATGCTCCGATGGTATTGAGGCGATATGATGATGATCAGCTCGGACCTACGTTATGTGGTCGCACCTCTGCCTCCTTTACCGCCGACTGGAGGGATGCTCACTACACCACGTCTCAGAGCCCCAGGTTATTTAACGGATCGTAGTGCAGTGAACCGGTCCTCTCCAGAGCTGTAGGGCCGTAGCATCTGGTGGGTGTGGATTGTATGTTGCTTAGGTATAGGTCAT